GAAATCTTAAAGTGGTTTTAATTTGCATTTCCCTGATTATTAGTGATGTTGAACATCTTTTAAGATGTTTCATAGCCATCTTTACTTCTTCTTTTGAAAACGTTCTGTTCAGCTCCTTAGCCCATCTTTCAATTGGGTTGCTTCTTGTTTTGGGTCTCTGTTTTTTAAGTTCGTTATAAATGCTGGTAATTAAACCTCTATCAGATGTGCCGCTGGTGAAGATTTTCTCCCATTCTGTGGGTTTTCTGTTTGTTTCCTTGATTGTCTCCTTTGATGTACAGAAGCTTTTTAGTTTAATGAGGTTCCACTTGTTAATTCTTGCCCTTGTTTCCTGGGCTATTGGTGTCCGGTTTAGAAAGTCCTTTTCTACACCTATATCTTGTACGTTTTTCCCAATGTTTTCTTTAGGGATGAAGGATTTATATTTTTAATTTTTAAAAAATTAAAAAAAGTTTTTAGTTGTCTGAGAGGCTGGGAAGATGGCTCAGCAGTTAAGAACACTGACTGTTCTTGCAGAAGACCTGAGTTTGAATCCCAGTACCCGCATGACCACTAACAGCTATCCTTAACTCCAATTCCTGGGGATCTGACAGCTTCTTCTGTCCTCCGCGAGCATTGCATGACACAGGTGCATTTACCTACATGCAAGCAATACACGCATGCACATAGAATAAAAATAATAAATAAAATTTTAAAAACTGTGAGAGACAGAGAGGAGCGCATGCTCATACTATGGTGCACGTATGGACTTGACGTAGTTGGTTCTTTTCTTTCCATCATGTGGGTCCTAGGGATTGAATGCAGCTCATCAGGCTTAGCAGCAAGTGCCTTTACCCACTGACGAAAGATTTATTTTGGCTTACAGGTTCAGTAGACGCCATCATTGTGGAGAAGGGTTCATAGAGTTGCTTGTTCCACTGTGGTGGGAGCTTTGGGCTGCTGTTTCTCATATCTTGGTTAGAACAAGAAACAGAACAAAAAGAGATGCTGAGCTCTCATTCTCAAAGCCCCTCCTCTGGTGACACATTCCTGCCACCTAGACTCTACTTCTCAAAGGTTCCGCAGTCTCCCAAAAAGTATCACCAGCTGAGGATAGAGTATTCATATAGAAGTCTGTGGGGGATATTTCACATTCAAACGAGAGTGAAAACCCGCTTGTGGTAATTTAAGCATTATCCTATCCTTTGTGCCTCCAGGTTGAATGTCTCTTTACTTGAAGTTCATAGAAGTTTTTCAGATATTGGGCTTCATTTTTTTTTCTCTAAATTTGGATTTCTTTTCTTTCTTCTCTTCTTTTCTTTTTTATTTTTTGAAACAAGTCTCACTATATTGCCCTGACTGGTCTGGAATTTTGATGATCCTCTCTGCTTCCTGTGGATTAAAGTTGTATGTCAAAATATCTCCCTCCTTCCTTCTTCCCCCTCCTTGCTTATTTCTCTGTACTGTGGTGGAACTCAGGTTCTGAAACACATCTCTAGCCCCTTTTTATTTGGAGACAGGACCTCATTCAATTGCTCACACTTGCCTTGAATTTGCAGTCTTTCTGCCTCAGCCTCTTTAGTTGCTTGGATTAGAAATATTTATCACTGTTCATGCCTGACTTAGAATATTTATGTAGATTTTACTGTTTGAACTTCATTAATCTGTTTTTTTCTTTTGTGTGTGTGTTGTTTTAGTTTTTGTTCTTTCTTTTCTTTCTTTTTTAATAACAGCATTACCATTAGTTACCTGAATAACTAATAATCAGGCTTGGCAGCAAGTTTTTGCCTGACTTCTGACTTGGTTTTTAAGAGTGGGCCCGAACTCACCGGACACCCATTTCCCCAGATGTCTCCTAGAACTGTACTCTGGAACTGCATTCTGAAATTGTATCCGAGTCAGGCCTCACCCTGTTTTTATTCAAAACCATTTCTCCAGATTCAATTGGGGAACTATAAATTGGAACCATCCTTATCAGAAAATCTTGTCCTTCCATCCCTAGGTCTACAACTTCTTGTACACACAAAGTCAAATACTTCTGTCTTCCTTGTTTTCAATGAAGATGCCTGTGCTGCCTTTTAGTACTTTGATATGTTAATTTTCAAGCATACCCACATTTATTATTTTTTTGGATGGAGTACCAAATTGAAGTTGCCAATAAGATCAGGTGACCAGGTTACAAGAGCACATGGTTCAGTGAGTTTGCCAACGTTAATTAAAAGTCATTAGTCCAGATTCTATTTTATGTCTCCTACATTACAAAAATTATTATTTTAATTTATTTTTTTATTTTTTTATGTGTGTGAATGTATTGCTTCCATGTATTTAAGTGCACCTGTGTTATGCAATGTCTGCAAATGTCAGAAGAAGGTGTTGGATTCCCTGGGAACTGGAGTTAGGGACAGTTATTAGCTGCCATGTGGATGCTGGGAATTGAACCTGGGACCTCTGCAAGAGCAGCCAATACTCTTAACTGCTGAACCATCTCTCCAGCCCTACATTTTTTTTTTCTTTTGAGGCTGTTTCACTATGTAGCCTAGCCAGTATGGCATCAGACTTGATGTACCTCAATTAGTCTTCTCAAATCTGGGATTACAGGTTCATGCTACACTCTGCTGAACATCACTAATCTAGAAATCTGTAAAACAAAATACTCCAATTCATATCAAAACATTTGTTTTGGGGGGTTTTCAGGTTAAGACTAACCTCTTCAGGTTGTATCAGGTCTATACTTTTCTTTAGGACCTAATTTTGGAGATGGTTTCTTGAGCAACCAACCCCTTGTAAACTCACTGCATTTTGTTGTTTTTGCACATAGCCATCCCTGGTCAAAGTACCATCTCTTCCCTCACAGTCAATCATAATATAGTATGACTTGACTACTTAAATACTACTAGTAGTATTCTTAATTAATTTTTTAAAGAATTATGAATGTATTATAAATTGTTCTCATTCTGCTAGGTCTAGGTTTTCTAGATCTAGGTCTAGATTTTTTAGCTATCACTTAGAGCCTACTCTGTGGCTAGTATTGACAGATATTTTCTATGAAGCACCATGTGGTCCTGGTGATCTTGGCAGTTGCCGTATGAAAGCAGCCTTAAGCATTATTAAAATAACGGACACGACTGTGATTTGATAAGATTTCATTTACAGAAATAGATAGGCAACTGTTTGGGACACAAGCTGTATATTTTATTTACACAAAGACTTTAGAAGAGAAAGATACAGTAAAACATTCACAGTGATTTATTCATACTGTGTAATACACTAGCACATCTGTGCTTTTTACTTGTTCCTCGCACATTATCAGCTTCCATGTTTGCCTTTTTCAGTAGAAATTACTTTGGTTATAATCACTGTCCCAGTAGTCAGTTAGAAGCTATGCTTTTGGTGATTTACTAAGTCAACCCTTAATTTAACTTTCAGGATTCAGAGGATTTAATGCTTCCATTGGCATCTCAAAAGGAGATATGGACAAAGGAATAGGTATCGCACTCAATAGGTAAGTGATTGTTGTATGGGAAAGTAAGCATTTTGCTGGCATGGTGGCTTGTGCTTGTAATGTTACCACTTGGAACACTGAGCCAAGAGAATTGTCCTGAGTTTGGGGCTAGCCTAGGTAGACAGTGACCCCAGGCCAGACAGGGTTGCATAGCAACCTTTTGTCTCAAAAAATTTTATTTTAAGAATTTAAAAAAAGAAGGAAGAAATGTGTATATTAAAAATCTTTTTCCTTCGGCCGTTTTATGGTATTTGTTGCATGTAATAGCGTCCTAAGAATGAAACAGTCTTACATTTCTAGAAAAAAATCCCTACTTCTCAAGGATTTTGAATGCAGTTTGTTTAGTGTTTTTAATTATTTTCTGTTTAATTCATTAGCGTTTTTAGGTTCAAACTGAATTTTGGGTTGAAGGGGAGTTGACAGCCTTTGTCATTTGTTGATGAGAACATTAATAAAATGTTGTTGCCTGCCCTTTTATACTAAGGGGATCTTAAATGTATGCCATGCCATTAAATATGCATTACCAGCATTATTTTTAAATTGGCACACAATATACCACTGTATGAAAAAGTTAATTTGTATTTGATATTTAGACTCTTGTTTCAATTACTGTTCCCCTTCTCCCCTCTTTTCTGTTCCACTGTAGAATGAATCAGGGCTGTGTACCTGGTAGGCATGTGCAATTCCAATGAGCTACACCTCCAGGCTCTCTCTTGTGTTCATTTATATATTTTTAATATTTTATTATTTTTATTTTCTGTAAATGAGTGTTTTGCCTGCATGTATGTAAGTGCACCCATGTTAAATAATGCCTGTGGAGGTCAGAAGAAGACGTCAGATCCCCTGGAACTGGATCTAGGGAGGGTTGTAAGCCACACTGGGTGCTGGGAACTGAACCCAGGTCCTATGTGAGAACAGCTTGTGCTCTTAACCACGAAGCCATCACTCCAGCCCCTTAGTTGTGTTTAAATAAAACTACAGTGAGCACCTTTGCAGATAAAATATTCATAGTTTATTTCCTAAAATTGGATAAAATAATACAGTCCCTCTATGGATATAAGAATGACCATCTTTCCAAATTGACTCCAGTACACTATATTGAGATCTTTTAAAAATTCACCAATTGTAAACTGATAATGGTTATTCATGCCTGTAATCCCAGCACTTAGGAGGCTAAGGCAGGGTTGCTGCAAGATGGAGACCAGCCTGCTTTACAGTGTGAGATACTGTTTTCAAAAATATCAAAAATTTTTTTACTGACTGTGAAAGCAAAACATAGTTTCCTTTAACATTTTACTTTGTGCTTCTTTAATTCTATTTTGTGGTTCTTTGATTTCTAATGAAATAAAATAGACAAAAATTTCTTGGCTCTTAGTTTTGAGTTTTCTTCCTTTATAGAAAAAATATTGAATTTACTTATTGTGTGTATGTGTGAATGAGTATAGATTAGTCCTGCATGTGTGGAGGGCAGAGGAAAGTTTTCAGGAGTTGCTTCTCTTCTACCTTGCTGAGAGGCAGGGTCAGCCTCTCTCTTGTTTCTGCTGCTGAGCTGTGTACTCCAGCTCTTTACCCTTGTTCTACAGCTGGACAGTGCAGGTTGGCTTGCTCAAAAGCTTCAGGACAGTTTTCCCGTCTCTGCCTCTCCACAGGGGGAGAATTTTGCTTTGTTTTATTTGTTTTCCTTGGGACAAGATGTTACCCCATAGCCCAGGCTGCCTTGGATATGCTTTGTAGCCCAGGCTGGCCTTAAATGCATGGCAGTTCTCTTGCCTTAACCTCCTAAGTGCCGGGATTAAGAATCAGGCCACTAGGCTTGGCCCCATACTGAAATTTATTATCTCATATTTAAAATATTTTCTCCAGTTTTGCCTACAAATATTTATGTAGCTCAAGAATATTTTGCTTTATGATTTACTGTTTATATTTTTTTCCTTAAAGAGAAGGTTTTGCTAGTAGCCTATGCCAGCCTCAAATTCACAGTCCTCTTTCCTTAGTGGCAGGCATGTGCCGCTACTATGCCTAACTTTGATTTACTTTAAAAATTGTTTTATTTTGAGACGGGGTTTTATGTAACCCATGCTGGCCTCAAACTCGGTATGTAGCCAAGGGCGATCTTGAACATCTGCTATTCCTATCTCCTGAATGCTAGGTTAGATGAGGCCCATGTACCACTATGCCCAATTTTTTGTGGTGCTGCAGATCAAATTCAGGGCCTAATGCTTTTTAGGCAAGCACTCTACCAACTGAGCTACATCTCCTCAGCCCTCATACATTGTTTTTATGTGACTTTTTTTTTTTTTTTTTTGTACTGAAAATTGACCCTCAGGCCTTACATGTGACATGCAGGTGGCAGTCGACCATTGAGCTTTATATCCAGCCTTTTTTTGACCTTTTTTTAAAAACTGCAACGCACTAAGTTGCCCAGGTTGGACTGAACTCACTCTGTAGCTCAAGCAATCTTTGAACTTGTGATTCTCTGGCTTAGCTTCTCCCATCCCCCAATAGATGGAATTACAGGTATGTGCAACGATGCTTGATTTATCACTTTAAAAAAAATACAGATGCTTCCCATTATGGATCTATCATATGTAATTAGTTTTCTTATTTATTTATTTATTTATTTAGTCTTTTTAAGACAGGGTCTTAGTTCCCTGTGAACTATGTTAACAGGTCCAGGTAGCCCCACCTGGCTGGAACTTGCTGTGAAGACCAGGCTGGTCTTAATCGCTCAGAGAGTCCCCTTCCTCTGCCTACCAAGTGCTGGGTTTATAGGTGTGTGCCACCACACCAGGCAGTAATTAACTTTCTTAATGTTCAGCCCATTCAGGGGTGTATGGTTGTGGTAAGGATATGTGTGAAGATCTCAGTAGTGCTGAATTTCACAATGTTTATCCAGTGCTCTGCTTTTAACATGATTCAAATATTCTCTCAGCTCCTTTGAGTATCTGCTTAGTTTTGCTGCCACTGGCTTATGCTCTCCTTTTATACTAATTGGCAAGCTTTTTTCATATTGGAGATGATAGGTAAGGCTTTATGGGCTATATGGATTCTGCTATTGTAACATGAAAGCAAATATAGGTGAGGCACAAATGAATGAGCACATATGTGTTCCAACAACACTTTTTTATTTTTCTTATTTGAGATGGCCGTGGGGGTGTCTCTTACTATGTAGCCCTGGCTGCCCTGGATTTTTGTAGACTGTGCTAGCTTCAAACACAGATCTGCCTGCTTCTCTTTCCTGAGTGATAGAATTAAAGGCACGTGCCACCATGCTTGGCCCGACAAAACCATTTCACATAAAGAGCTAGTGAGCTCTATTTGTGTAGGCACTACAGTTTGCCAGTATCTGCTGTATGACATTTTACTCGTAACTTCTGCTTTTTATATTTCTAATGTTCGTGCTTCTTTCTGATCCTCCTCTGTAAAACTTTTGGAATTTTTTTATTCCTACCTCACCCCACCCAAAGATTCTCTGTGTAGCTCAGGCTCTCATGGAATTCACTGTGTAGTTCAGGCTGGCTCTAACCTGTAGCAATTCTCATACCTCAGCCCCTGAGTACTGGAATTACAGGCCTAGCTGGGGTAGTTTTTGCGTTTATTTGGTTTTCTTCCCTCCAGTGTTTTCTACTGATGACCTGTTAACATAGTTCACAATTTTTAAGTTTCTAAGAACATAGGTGGCACCTAAACTAGATGCTTTGTATGCCAGTTGGAAGTATGTGCTAGGCTGTGAACGTGTTTGGTTACTTCAGCATAATTCCACTTAGCTGCATGCATTCCTTTTGAGAGGCTATTCCTACAATCCACATTTCATTGTAAGGAACAGGATCCTTTGAATACATTTTAAGAAGCTTCTGGACTTTGTCTCTAGTGTAGTATCATGACTATTTCACCTTATCTCTGGTTCTCTGCGCATGTCTGCTTGCTTCTGCTGCAGAGGACTCATTTTTCCTCATCCTGTCTCCTTTAGCTTCTAGCTCCTTCATAAGGCTTTCCCCCAACTCATTACTTGAGCTTTTGTGTTCTCTGTGGCCATAGCCTTCTCTACCCACATTTTTTTTTTATTATTATTTTTTTTACAGACTATGTGCTTTAGCTCTTATGTCTTTCCAGTGTGTCTGGTTGTCATTAAATTGACAATGTCATTTCTTTTGGGTTGTGAAGTTTCCTGAGACTGTAGTGGTAACAGTTTCTATTTGTCATGTCTAGGACGGTTTCCCCATTGAAGTTTCTTTCTTCCCTATGTATCATAAGCCAATATTGCTTTAGCCTAACAAAATTCAGCTAATATAAGTATAACCAGTTTTATGTAATTGCCCTAAAATTGGAGGGCAACTGAGTCATGAAATAGTTAAGAAGTATCATCATACCTGAGTGTCTTTAGACCTTCACAGTCTCACAGATAATTGTGCAACCCTGTTCTATCATATCCTTGCTGCTAACTGACTTCCTCATCCTGTTTATTCTACTGCTGATGAATAGTTTCTGCTTATTTATAGCTTTTGAGTCATTCCTTTGCAATTAGATTCATAAATTGATCTTAACTCTTTCTTGATTCTTTCATAGGCTGTGGTATTTTCTTTTGTGTTTCCATTTATTCCATTAGCTGACTTGGTTGCTTTGTTTTTCCCTATTTTGTTTTTAAGACAGTGTTGTAGTACAGGCTATCCCTGACCTTGGTATATGGCCAAGGCTAGCTGTTTACACCTGATGCTCCTGTCTCTGTGAGTACCCTCCTCCCAACTCTGGGATTACAAGTGTATACATGGTAATCCTCACCTTCTATATGTAAAGGGAGAGTGCACAAAAAACCATGACTGATATAAACTACCAGTCCTGCTGTCAGGCCTTATCAGAGCATTGTTAGCCCCTGCTTCAAAATTGTGGCCCTCAAACATACCCCCAGCCATGAAGCAATACCTATTCTGAAAACAGGCCCTTCCGCCCTTATCAGGCCCCAGGCCCTTTACAAACACCACCCCACATAATTCTATGGAATG